AGAGAGAGAGAGAGAGAGATGTTCAGATTGAATCAGAGTTCATAAAAACCTTCTTGTATCTGATCGTTGTCTGACCCACATTCGGTCTCAGCGTTGGTTTTCAGGCTTCAGGTTTCCTCTTTGGGGGGTTCGGTGGTTTTAAATGCCGGCCTCAGTTTCGTGCTAACATTTAAAGGAAAGAAGGTCAACTATGAGACATTTAGTGACATTCAAACGCTGTCACCTCATTGGACGCAGCGTGCTGATCATCATGACTCTCAGAGCAGGTCGCCGGGTGTTAACTTTCTGTCAGTAAGTGAAACGACAGCAGCTATAAACACGAGTCAGCGTGAGCCGCATCCTGCAGGTTCAAGACCTTCATTCATAAAACAAACAGCACTCAGAGGGTTAAATGTTTCACAATATAACACAGAAACAACATGGTCGATGAGATGAGTCAGAGATCTAGCGTCTATAAGGAGTCATTTTAAGAGATATCAGACTCAGCAGCTTTAAAGCACTCTGTCAACACAAGCTGACTCAGCGTTATGACATTCATAGCAACATTAGCATATTAGCATTAGCATGTCAGTTATGTAACAGTTAGAATCAAGAGATTTTAATAATTTTGCAGCTTTTTGATGAAAGGGTGCAACACTCAGTCTGTCTCTCTTTGTGTGTGTGTGTGTGTGTGTGTGTGTGTGTGTGTGTGTGTGTGTGTGTGTGTGTGTGTGTGTGTGTGTGTGTGTGTGTGTGTGTGTGTGTGTGTGTGTGTGTGTATACAGGTATGCTGACCATCACTGACTTCATCAACATTCTGCATCGGTATTACAAGTCTCCTCTGGTGAGCCGAGCCTCTGAATGATCTGACTCCTCCCCTTTAGAGGGTCACAGATATAAACTCTGTGTGTCTGTTTGCTCTGCAGGTTCAGATCTACGAGCTGGAGGAACACAAGATAGAAACATGGAGGGGTGTGTGCAACACAACCACGAAGTGATGCGGATGAAGACGTGTTCAAGGGGTTTTCATTTCTGCAGATCAACATCTAGAGTTTCATGTTTTACTAATCGACTCGTGTCTTTCTGTGTCCGTAGAAATCTACTTGCAATACTCCGTCAACAGGCTGATCAGCATCGCTCCTGACTCCAGGTGAATTCAACTTAAAGTCATCGTTTCCATTAATCCTTTTATTTAAAGGAGCAGTATGTAACTGACACCTAGTGTTTAAAATGGGTACTGCAGTCTAAATTCTAAACATCATAGAGAGCTGTCCCCCCCCCTCCTCTCTAGAGTGGATGCTCACTCAGGTCACCATGTGGTGGACTCTGAAGCTTCAGTGTTTATCCAGCTCTGCATGGGTCTGTAAACCTTTCTGTGTTCTAACCTCTCTCCATTTTTCAAAAGCATCTCCAATATTGATCCTAGTTTGAGCACGTTTCTGCTCGTGGAGCTTATTAGAAACATGCAGAGGCTTTTTAGGTCGGGTACAATCACTTCTATCTGAACCACTTCTCTTGACCGCTTCCATCACTGCAACACCTGTTGACCTGATAACTGCTCTCATATCTGACAAACCGAGGGGCGTCCAAAACGGCTGTGTGGGGGCGTGTCTTAAAAGCGCCTACCTTCTCTGGTCCAAACAAATCCAGAGCATTCAGGAGCAGAATCTAAAGTTAGAAGGAGGACATACTGGCTGCTGCATTTGCTTGAATTTGCTCTGTCTGTATCACTGTTGTGAAATAAATGATGAGTTTTCTATCGTCTCCTCAGTCTGTTTGATGCCATCTACTCCTTGTTGAAGAATAAGATTCACCGGCTGCCCGTCATCGACCCGGCATCAGGAAACGTCCTCCACATCCTCACACACAAACGCATCCTCAAGTTTCTCCACATCTTTGTAAGACTTCCTCCTTTTTCTAACACTTTGTCCAAAGCCTGATCGTGAGCTGATGTAAATATACTATCGATTTAAATCCCTCCTTACTGAGTACACAGCTGAGTAAACGACTCAGAATACGACTAACGAGGGGGTTTGTGCTCTTCTCCATCAGGGATCAATGATTCCTAAACCTCGCTTCCTTCAAAGACGCATCAACGAAGTGGCGATCGGTACTTTCAGAGAGATTGCGACGGTCCAGGAATCAGCATCTGTCTACGACGCTCTGACCATGTTTGTGGAGAGGAGAGTCTCTGCTCTTCCCGTAGTCGACGACAAAGGTACTGTGAACATTTCATCGGGGCCGCCTGCTGTAGAGGAACGAAGCCTCAGTGCATAGGGCCAACCAATTGTTAGACTACTGGCGCCCCGATCATTTCCAACTTCTGACGTTGGAAACGCTAATAAATGTGTACAGAATCGAACCAGACGACTTGGTGGAAACGGGGCTGATGTGATCGCACTTTGTGTTTCTAAAGTTAAGATCTAAAAGTTTTGAATGAACAAGTTGAAATCTGTGTGTTGAATGAATCGTTCATCTCTCTGTGCGTCTCCTCTGTAGGTAAGGTCGTGGCGTTGTACTCCAGGTTTGATGTTATTGTAAGTTTATTTCATCTCCACGTCTTGTGATTCCCTGCTTCTCTTGTGTTCATTCAACGCCGTCCATATTTATAAGCTATTGTTGTTTTCGTTAAGGCTAACTGTTTTTTTGGGTGTGGTTGGTTGACATTCTTCATTTTTCAGAACCTGGCAGCTCAGAAAAACTACAACAACCTGAACATGACGATGCGAGAGGCCGTCTCCTCCAGAGCCTGCTGTATGGAGGGAGTCCTCAAATGTTACCCCCATGAGACGCTGGAGACCGTCATTGACCGCATCGCCAAGGCTGAGGTAGCACACATGCACGCCGGCTTGGGAAAACCAATTTAGCAATTTAGCTGTTATCAATGAGCAAAGACCCCAAATGCCTTTAGATGCTACAGCCAATCAGAGCAACACAAGATATGACATAAGGGGTAAACTGCTAGGCTAGTTAGCTAGCTCCACCACCAAATCCTTACCTTGCCTATAGACCAATCCCTACAGCCGGTTTGCGGGCGCAGCCATCTTGTGGTGGCGCCATTACTGCGGTGGCATCTGCTGCTGTCCGTTTACTGTGACAGCAGCAAGGATGATGATTGGATTAAAAATGTCAGACAGCTGCTGATGAAAGTTTTTCCAGACTTTTAGAGCAGCTGAGAGCTCTGCAGGTTCTTCCTGAAGTCGTTTACATTGGCGTAGATTGTAAAGTAACGCAGAAAGTAATGACGGCTTGTCAACGTCAATCTTTGGGCACCACAGTGGTCAGAGTTGTGATGTCACAGCAATAAGATATAGTTTGAAATCATTCACGTTCACTGTTGATTCACCTCCACTTGAAGTCAGCTGTTGGTGATGATTGAGCTCATCTTGATTGGCTCTCGTCCAATTAGTTGTTTTTTTTTCTTCCAGGTGCATCGTTTGGTGTTGGTGGACAGGGACGATGTGGTGAGAGGGATCGTCTCTCTGTCCGACCTTCTACAAGCTCTGGTTCTCACTCCTGCAGGTATTGATGCACTGTACTCCTAACTCCACCGCTCACATTCATCCTTACCTCGTTCTCTCAGCGCCCTGTTTGTTCACCCTTCATGCCGGCCTGCTTTGAAATCTTCCTGGTCACTAAGCTGCTCCTCCTCCTCCTCCTCCTCCTGTGAAGAAGTTCTAACTGATCAAACTCTTTTTTTTAATTCAACTTCTCGTCTACCTGAAGACAAAAGCTCTTTCTTCTCTTCCTTGGAAATGTATAAAAGATCACGCGGCCAGTTTTCTCCCTCCTGATTCCTTCAACTATCCATCTTCTCATTTCAAGTCCAACAAACAGCACAATCCAGGGATTCATCAGAGGTCAAAGGTCAAATGCTGCACCTTGGCTGTCATTGATAAATCATCTTTTTTCAAAATCAATCGCATCAACTCGCTGTGACCTCACAGAGAACCTCCAGCGACTCCAAAGACTTCCTGCATCTTTCAAATCTCTGACTAGCTTTCACTGCTCATCCGGTTCTGCCGGTTCAACTTCCTCCTCTGAAGTCCTCCGATCCTACCTGCCGACCAAGCCTCGGTTGTCCTCGTTTGTAGAGGGTCTACAAAGTCTGACACCGACCCTCCACACTGTCTTGTCCTGAAACACCTCTTACAGCACTCAGCCAGCATCTTCATGCAGCAGTTCATCGTATGAACTCTTCATCCTACAAGGACTTCTTATTCAGCACATCAAAGGTAGGAGGCTCGATCTAAGCTGGGGGTCACTGCCCGTCTGAGCTCGCATCTTCATGTTAAGTTGCAAGGTCTCACTGTCGCCTGTTGTGACTTTCCGGCTACACACTCAACGATTTTCAAATCTTAACCGATGACGTAGTGACACTTTAGGTTTATTTGGACAAGTAATCAGTTCAGAGCCTGGGATCGAACCATACAAACACGATCTTTGGATCGTTGCGGTGTTCAAATCAGGCCAAAATCGTCCAGTGTGTAGCCAGCCTGATGTAGATTCTCCAAAAGGATGATATGAAGGGTTTGTAGCATCACATTAAAGATATGAGTCTCTCTACTCATATATGATGTTAATAATAATGTCAAGAAATGAAAATGTGATTAGCATGAGAGACAGTTACTGAGATGATCCTGTATGTGTGCGGTGGCCGGCAGACGTACACGTGCAGCATATTCAGGAACGCTGAGACTAATCAAATGCAACGCTGAAACATGCTGCAAAGAAACAAAACGTGCTGCAAAAAGCTGAACCAACTGCATTAACATCAAACGTGCTGCAACAACAAGAAGTCCAAAACACACATTCAGAAACAACTGCAAACACAGAAAACTTGCACGTTCAGCCTTTCCAAATGAAGTACATACTCCAGGCCTGTAGGGGCGCTGTGTGGGACAGTGTATCTGTGGGAGAGAGAGAGGAGACCATGCACTGAAAGTTTTATTTAGATGGGAAGTTCCATCGTCGACCGTCACTGAACCGGCCACCGTACCTTTGTCATCTGAAGGTTCATCTCCAGAATGAACCCAGACCTGCGTTCATGTAGCTTGTAGCTTGTTTTGGGATTTAACGATGATGTCATGGTTTGTTTTCTTAGTTTTAAGACTGTGCACAAGAAGCAGATATTATTATTGTAATGAGGACAACTGTTCTGCCTCTATTCAATTATTGGAATCCTGCTGGTGATTTTGAAAAATGCAGGTGTAAGAAACTTCATATGTCCTCTTCTTGTTTACAGTCTAAAGCCGTTTTCACACATGCACTCCTGAAGATATCAGGAGAATTTCAGGAGGACAGCTCCTTGAAATTCTCAGAGGAACTTTAATGCACAAGTCAGACGTGCAGCTTTGACCTGATTGGTTCTTCAAAGTTTAAACCAATCTGACATGATGCCTTTCACTGCTTTCCAATCAGGCTGCATGAACAGAGTGTCTTTATCACACTTCTGGTTCCTCTGATATGATGACGGGGGTTTGAGTCCTCATGAATCAGCCTTGAGCATTATGGGATTGTTTCTGTCTGCAAAGAACTGTGAAGAGGTTTTCAGACAGGATGCAGCGTGTGCTGTGCTCGCCGAGGGTTATAAACGGGTTTGAGAGCGCACCACCGCCTCCTGTCTGAAAATCCCTTTACCAATAAATCACATATTCTCAGAGAGGAAGGTGTTGTCTCTGTTATTGTTAACTTTCTATTTTCTATTTTGTCTCCAGATATTTATAAGAGATCATCGTGTGAGGATGAAGAAAACAAGATGGAGGTCGACCTCATAAAGGAAGACGTTTAAAGTGAAATATGTGGAAGTATCTTCAGTCCTGAAGAGAGACAGAAAAAAAACCTTCCACCCAAAACAGTGACCACCAATTTCCCTTTCTGTGTGTGCCGCGGTCCGTCAGCGCTAACCTACTGTGGCTGACGGAGCTAAACCACGGCGCTGACGGAACACAGCATGCACAGACTGTGGAAATTGGCAGAAATAATAAACTCATTAAGAGGGATTATTTTATGAAGTCTTCACTGGAAGTTTTGGGAAGAAGAGCGTGGTTGAGCTGGAAGCTGGACGATGAGAGAGAACACATCAGAGTGATGAAGTTCAGAGACTTTTAAACTGTCGTCTGCTATAAATGGAAATGAATTTGTTCAAACAGAGAAAAAAGCAACAAGTCATGCGTACTGACAGATAGTTTTTTTTTTACTTTTTGGTCATATAAAACGTATAGAATAGACGTTTATAACTTGACATTACTGCGTTGTTGAAGTGGGGATCACATTTTTGTAAATGCACTTGAAGAAATGTATAAATAAAAGTTTTGTTTTGAAGAGTTTTTGGTACATTTATTTATAAAATGTCAGACATGTGGAAGGGAATTACATTTCCAAATGTTATTTACACTCATAGAAACTCACCGCACTGAAAGAAGAAGACATACACGTCTCAGACGAAGCAGTGGGAGCAACTTGGGGTCAAGTGTCTTGCCCGAGGACACATTAACTTTTATTTGTTTATATAAATCTGATTTTTTTTGGTCTTATATTTGTTGTGTAATGTGTAATGTTGGTCAGCGTATAAACAGAAACATCATGAGTTCATCATCGGATGTGATGGGGGGGGGATGTCCCTGACTGAAGGTGTGAAGGTGTGTCATGTTTACCTGGGGCGGGTTTGTTAACACTGCCAGCTTCCTGCATCCTGGACACATGATGAAGAGTCACACACACACACACACGACCCTCCACACGTAAAGGCAAATAACAGGTGATGAATGTTGTTTTTACTGTGACTATGAACATGTTGTCTAAACACTGAAACAAGAGAATATGAGACAGGAAATAAAAAGAATGACAAAACAAATGTTTCAATTAAATCCACCTGATCACCTGATTCCAGCACTCCCAATAATCAGGAGTAAGAACAACATAAACATACAGGACAAGATGCTAAACAAACTTTATCCCCTCACATCCCACAGAAACTCAAAGTGTTGCTCCTGAACATCCCATCAGGTAATGAAAGAGTAAAATCAACAAAGAGCTCCGTCCTCTTTACGACTTCATCCTCTGAGCAAACACGTCAAACCTCCAATCACTCGCTGCGGCTGTTATTCAACGTTCACCTGAGACTTAACTCTTGACTCTACCTGAACTGACGCCTGCAGACGGGATGCAGTAGAGCGTATCGAGCTGCACGATCTGTTGACTGACATCGGCCTCTGACTGCAGAGATGGACCCCAAACCCAGGTAGGACATTCTTTTGTTTTCAGGCTGATGTTCTGGGAAAGTTTCCAGCACAGTCGCTTATCTTGATCCAAAGGAAAGCAAGAAAAGACCAAACGTCTGAAGTCTCGTTTGAGGCTCACATGTCTGTAAAGTAAAGTGCCTTAGATGGGCTGATCCTGTGATCTGATGTCTTCTGTGTGATTAGCACAAAGAAACCAGGACAGCAAAGTGTTCCTCTTATTAACTTCTTCAGCAACAGAGACTCAGATCATGTTCAGTACATCCATGATCTGATGGTCATGACAGGCGACCTCATGAGGGGCCCGTAACACCTACACTATGTTTCATTTCTGTTGCCGCGATCGCTGTAGCTGCTGCACTCTCTTTAATCTCAGGTGAGCTCTGACTCATTTTGTTCTAGAACCGGGTCTGTGTTCGATGGGTTAATGATGCAGGATTGTCTGGAAATAATCATTTTAAAGACGACATATTCTCCCCCTCCTCCATCTTTTCAAACAGTCCCCTCCTCCATCTTTTCAAACAGCCCCCTGTGGTCTAAATGAAACATCTGTGCTTTGTTCAAAATATAACATGAATCAAGCACCAGAGGAGGTTTGTGACCCTGTATAAACCAGCTCTCTCAGAACGCTCCGTTTTGATGTGTGTGTCTCTTTAAACTCACTTAACTGTCAACCAAATGCAGGAGTATCATTCAGCGATGCTCAAACATGAACGTGCCACCGCATGTTCCTGACTCATGAACTGTTTACCTTTCTCTGGTAATTTGCAGAGCTGTAAAAACGATAAAGGAGCAGCAGTGAGATGTGTAAACACCTGATTATCCTTGATGACTCAAACTAAAGGGTCTGTATTGTTTGATCCAGATCCTGCTGACACACAAGAACTCTGTAGACCTAAATGTGTTTCTAATCATCCTGTGAGAAACTGGACTCATTGTTTTCAGTTCTCCTCCAATCAGAAGTAAACTCAACTAATTGTTTCGTCTCTTCAAAGTTTGAGCATCTCTGTGAAAAATGTTTCCAAGCCGAGTTTAACCCTTGGAAGGTGTTCTCTCTTTCATGTCGTGTCCGTCTTGATTCTGGGTTTCAGTAAAAGACGAATCAGGATCAGGAGTTTGTGACATCCCTCTCGTCGTCTCCCTCGATGAGTTTTGTACTTATGTAATTGACACTGAAAGTTTAAGCCTTGTGCAAACATTGTCAGGGCAGTGAGGTCAACCTTTTATTGCTGCCAATTACATGCTAGCACAAGCTAATCGCTATTATTTTTAACGTTTTCAAAGAGAGCCTGTGAGGGGTTTGTTTTGGCCTTTGGAGACCTTTAAGGAACACCTTCAGCTCTGAAGGTTTCCACCACAGACTGTAAATATAAATGTTAGAAGCCTGAAATACGTCGCCCATCTGCTCCTGCAGGGGGCGCTGGAGTCCTATGGATGTCGGTCTCCATTAAGGAACTTTTGTCCTAATCACACCTATTTGGTTTTTTGAACCAGGCTGTAAACATGTTCATCTCTGCTTTAAAAACAGGCTTTTTAGAATGGGTGTGTATGTGACTTCCTGTGCTTCTGCAGCCAGCCTCTAGTGGACACTCCAGGAACTTCAGTTTTGAACACTTCTGCATCTGCTTCATTTTCAACACCGGAGGTTGCTGCTTGGTTTGTGGTTGTTCGAGCATTTTAAAGTAAATGACCTGAATACTTCTTCTACTCACTGGGTCCGTCTATTAGAAAAACACACAAACTAACACAACACTCCAAAGAAAACAAGCCACAGAACCCACAACAAGTTAAACACGAAGAGCGACAGGATCATAATATTTTCTTTAGGAATGACCGGGGCAGAATAGTGCAGAGATCAGAAGACTTAAGACTGGATCAGGTTTATGTATTTGGGTATCAGGGCGCAGGTGTGCCCAGTGAGCGTGCCTCTGCATGAGGACAAAGTTTCCATAAGTCTTTATTTACTGTCATGTCAAAGGATGAAGGCTTTACAAGTGAAGGAAGGAGTGCAAAGAGTGACCAAATCAGACATTAGCCAGGCCCATTAATCCTCCTGAAAACAGGCCACAGGTAGGGGGCCGGATTATTCTGAAGAGTCTCCTGCAGCTGGAGCAACAGCAGACAAGAAGGTGTCTTATATTCAGACATCTTTTAGCACACAAAGCTCCGAACAGCAGCCAGATTGAGTTTGAAGGATGTGTAGTTTTTGAATGATAACTTCAGGACTTGGAGCCTCAGAGTATCTGCTCATAAAAACAAAGAAATAAAACATCATCGTTCGGCTGAATGGAAACCTCCGACAGTCCTTCGACTCAGCGGCGGTAAGAGCTTTAAGTCTCTGAAACATCCCGTTCAGTTTGATTTAAAGAATCCTGGTTGTTTTATTTTGAAGGTGCACGTCAGATGTTGATGTTGGAGGAAGAATAACAATCTTTAAAACATGTCAGACTTAAAGCTGTGTGTTTGAACTTCCTGACGTCGTTGCCTCTACATCTTGCTTGTGTTGTTCTTACTCTCTGGTGTTCATTACTTTGGATGAAAGAGTCTGATGAATGAAATGTAGAATTGTAGAGATATGTATGTAGACTATTAAGCACACATCATTTTTCATTTAAAGGATTAAAGGTAAATTGTTTGATATCCCAAGAAGTATTTTAGAAACATCCTGAGGACACCTCTTTTGATTTTTACATAATCAGAGTCGAGCCCACAGACGGACTGACACTGTGATCAAAGAGTCTGCTCGCTCCTCACAGTCTGAACTGTTTGAAAGGATCGAGATAGCAAAAGTAATTTTTAATCAAACCTTTATTTATTGTTGGATGGACTTGGAGGTTTCCAACGCCGTTGATTCCCCCCCCCCCCTCTCTAGAGTGGATGCTCACTCAGGTCACCATGTGGTGGACTCTGAAGCTTCAGTGTTTATCCAGCTCTGCATGGGTCTGTAAACCTTTCTGTGTTCTAACCTCTCTCCATTTTTCAAAAGCATCTCCAATATTGATCCTAGTTTGAGCACGTTTCTGCTCGTGGAGCTTATTAGAAACATGCAGAGGCTTTTTAGGTCGGGTACAATCACTTCTATCTGAACCACTTCTCTTGACCGCTTCCATCGCTGCAACACCTGTTGACCTGATAACTGCTCTCATATCTGACAAACCGAGGGGCGTCCAAAACGGCCGTGTGGGGGGGGCCTTAAAACAGTGATGATTAAAAGTCGTAAACACATTTTCAGGACGTTGACTTCCATTATGTAGCGTGAGTGCATAAAATTTATTTGTTTGAGATAAAATCAGATTTCACTGATTCAAATCTTCTGTGAGCAGGAAAGCCAAACTCATGTTCGGCCTGAAAGTGAAGAAGAAGAAGAAAGCAAACAAAGACCTGGTCCTGGCAAACAAGGGAGCTGTGGGTAAGGCCTGGAAAACAAACAACACACACACACACACACACACACACACACACACACACACACACACACACACGCACGCAGACTTTCCCTTGTCAAACAGTTCCAACTTAAATACATGAACATGACTTACAGTAATTATGAGTCCTTCAGGTTTTAAAGAACAACACAGAACATGATCATCACTCATCACACGACGGCAATATATTTATTTATACAACATTCTTCAAAAGTTCCTTGGAAATCTTTTTCATGACAATGTTTCTGCAGCAGACCGGGTGTGGGATTGTAGAGCAGGGTTATATTAGTTTGAATTTAGTTGTTCTTTGACTTGTGAAGGAGTAGAGGATCTACTCCGAGCTCGCCCTGAATGTCTGAACTCCTCACCCGATCTCTGAGTCAAGACATCCACAATGAATTTACTGGTGTTTACCAATAATGAAAGCTCATGGACAGTCAGTCATGTAAGATAACATTTAGAGGGCTTTAAAGTCTTTCGATGTGATTTTTCACACTTAAATGTAGAAATCAAGTATCTCCTCTGAAAATAACTCTGTGAGTCATGACTGTCTACAATGGGTGTAACACCCGAGTCCCACTGTCTGTGATGTTTTCAGAGTTTTCAGAGTCCTATCTTCACTTTGTTTACATCGCCCGGACGGCCGGCTGACTCCTCCCCTCGTGTATAAAAGTTGTTTAATTGAGGGACTAGAGAAAAGAAGAATAACATACTGTACTCACTGCTTAACTGTGTTTCTAGATCACGCTCATTTCAGGTAAATTTACATGCAGTGTGAAGATACCAGCAGAATAAAGATCGCTAGCATTAGCATGCTAACACAACAATGCAGCGCCAGTTGTTTTGGTTTCATGCTGGTGCTCAAGGGCGACATCTGCTGGATCAAAACATCACATATAAAGACTTTAAACTGTATCGTTTATTTCACTAATAAAGACAGTCAACGTGTCACCTGACCTTTGGATCAAGCTTTAGTGTGTGTGTGTGTGTGTGTGTGTGTGTGTGTGTGTGTGTGTGTGTGTGTGTGTGTGTGTGTGTGTGTGTGTGTGTGTGTGTGTGTGTGTGTGTGTGTTTGTGTAGACAGTGAAGCGGAGGCGCTGACTGAAGAATCGTCCCTGCTAGAAGGAGACAACATCGAGGAACAACCAGGACCCTCTGAAATCAGAACCAGAATCAAACCCGACACTAAGAGGTATGACATGACGCGCTGCACATCTCTCATGAAGCACGTCAGTTTGTCTTTGTGACGATGACCACCAACAGGAATACTGCTCGGAGACAGAACGTCAGATTGTCCCTCAAAGTAGCATCACAGTGGGACCAGCGTCTATCTAGCTCGAGCTTATAAAGTGGTGATTGTAAAGTTGTTTATTTCTGTGTAACCATGTTAAGAAACTGACAGTGCAACATCTCACAGGGCCAAACTGAAAACTCGCATCCAGCAGAGTGAAGGGAAACCACAGAGCTTTCAGGTAACCACGACAAACAGGACACACGACACATTACGGTAAACAATGATGTACTCGATGATGATAGTTTGGGGACCATCGGTTGTTGCTCTCTGTCTTTCTCGTAGATCGCCGTCAACATCACAGAGGCGAGGCAGCTGGTGGGAGAAAACATTGACCCCAGTGTGGTGATTGAGATCGGTGATGAAAAGAAACAGACGTCGGTTAAGGAAGGAACCAACGCTCCTTTTTTCAATGAGGTACGAAACTATAAGAAGCTTCTATGTCTCAGTCTTAAAGATGGAGTCTGTAGAAATGTTTGTAAACTTTCAAACTGGGCTCCTCCTCCTGGGCTCATGACCCCCAAAAGCCCCGCCCCCTGCAGGACGTAGTGTGTACGTTTACTGCTTGTACCTACACTGCAAGCTAACACACGCTAGCACAAGCTAACCGCCGGTGTTTGTCCCCTTCCTGTCCAACAGGAAGTAGACCAACTCCACGTCCACGGGTAAAAGACAACACACGAGGTTCACCCTCATTTTAGAACGATCTTTATCCACTTGGTGTTTCTCCTCACTCTCATTATATTTTCTCTTCTTTGATGCTACGTCCACGTCCGTCATATTCACCGCTTTGAATCTCGTCCAATCACTGAATTGTATCCACTCCTAAACTCACCTGCTGCGCTGTCATTGGCTGGAGGAAACACACCAGCTCCGCCCACAAACGTCCCGAGTCAACCGTCACAAATCAGAACAGTAAAATCCAGTCAGAGGACAGAGTCTCTGCAGACACAGTCACCACCACACATGTACGGAGGCCCAGAAGGGACAATGGAGCAGCTTCACTTTAGGAGAAGTCTGGATTTTATTTTGAAGGAGGAAGCTGCCGACTCCATCTTTAAAGTGTATAATGAATCTTTGAATGGTCTCTAATTCATTCCTTGTTTTTACTCCCTTCAGTATTTTGTTTTTGACTTCTTTGCACACAAGGAAGTGTTTTTCGACAAAGTCATCAAGCTAACGGTGAGTATAAAACAAACAATAACAAAATCAGGGATTTCTGACAAAAGTTTTTTGTTTAATTTCAAACATTGTAAAACATCAAATCAGAAAGCCTTCACACTGCAGTGATCCTGGTTGTAGACGACTCTATGCAGATGGTGCTGTCATTTTCTCTTCTGAAGAACCGATCAGTTAGTTTTGTGAAGTTACATGTTTTGGGCCTTTTTGCCTTTATTGTTTTGGACAGCTGAAGAAAGGCAGGAGAGACTGAGGGAAGACAAGTAGTAGCCTGTTGGAGTTATTAGCTTTGCTTTGGACTCAAGATGGTTTTTCTTTCTCTCTTCAGGTGATTCACTCGAAAATGTTGAGAAGTTTCTGCATTGGGTCCTTCCAGCTGGACGTGTGGACCGTCTACAAACAGCCAGGTAGCGCATCTCTTTCTAAGGTGTCTCTTAAAGTACCTAGAGAAGTGGTAGCCTTCTAAAGCAAATGTATGCTTTAACATGCTTTATTCACTTAACCCGAATAAGCTTTGAGGATTATACAAAAGCTTTTAAGATATAAAGCTACCAGTTGTGATAGGTTTGGGATAATGCCTTACAAAAGAGAAAGTTGATAATGATTCTACAATGTGCAGACACGATTTCCTATTTAATCCGCCTTTACACCCAGTGAACACCCTATTCTCTTTCTCACTCCCACAGGTCACCAGTTCATCAATAAGTGGGCGATGCTGAACAATCCAGGTGACATCAGCACTGGGGTCAAAGGTTATGTGAAGTGTGATATCAGTGTCTCCGCCAAAGGTGATGCCATGCAACCGGGACAGAAAGCAAGCGATGCTGACGAGCAGATAGACAAGTACAAAACCCTTTTCTGTTTGATCATAGATGAACAAGCTAATCCTGCTTTATCTAAATGGTTTGTTTTCCTGGTCAAGGTTACAGAAACAGAAACAAAACAGAAAGACGTGACCTCACTTGCTCCCACTGACTCGCTCAAGTTAAAAGATCTATAAAATAATCTAAATTTGTGGCTTACATTTGAACAGATTGCTTTAAAACCTTATAGACGTTAAAAAGTTGATGATATAGGGGGCTGGTGGCACAGTGGTTAGTGTGCGAACCCCATATGTGGAGGCTGTAGTCCTCCAGAAGGGCGGCCCCGGGTTTGGGTTCCTTACCCACAATCTCTCTCTCTGTCTCTCTCTCTCTCTCTTCCTGATTTCCAGCTCTGTCCACTGCCCCATCTCTCCAATGAAGGCATAAAAAGCACATAAATACATCTTTAAAAAATAAAAGGTTCATGTTATTCAGATTTATTGAGTTTTAATAAAAGCTGTGATACTTGCATCTCTTTATATGCAGATGATACTCTGCTGTTTTAAGCTAATATTGACCGATAAATCCCTAGTATCTTTAAAGCACATCCTTTTTTGTGAATACTTTACCATTTTCTTACTTTTATATGATTGTCGTAATTTTGGGCACTTTTGAGCTGTAGCCATGGAGATGTATTACAATGTAAAGTAAAGAAAACTGCACACTCATGGAGTCTTAATTGGGTATTCAAGTTTTTGCAAGTTGTTGCTGATACTTATTTGTGTATTGCTGTTTGACCTTTTCCTCAGAAACCTGCTGATACCAGAGGGTTTCCCATCCGAGCGACCCTGGGCTCGTTTCTACGTGAAGGTGTACAGAGCTGAAGGCCTTCCTCGGAACAACTCCAGCATCATGGCCAACGTCACCAAGGCTTTCATCGGGGACAACACCGCGCTCATAGACCCATATGTGGTGGTCAGCTTCTTCAAACGAGTGGTGGGTTATAGTAGACTTTAAACCAACGATAATTCAAAATACGCTGCAGTAAAATCAGATGCTCTGAATCATCTCACAGAAACGTTTGAACAGTTGGATTATTTTGAATGTTCAGACACTGAGGTGTGACGATTCACACGCACGTGTACACCTGAGAGAGGGCGCCCTTGAACCGTGGATACAAAATAAATATGAATCTGTATGCGAGATGCATAACAGACAATATAAACTCAGTTACATTGAGCGCTATGCGTCCTCTTTAGGATTCTTTCTCCTAATCTGTCCTATCTGTCCACTCAGGGTCGGACGTCCACTCAGAAGTCCACAGCAGATCCAGTGTGGAACGAGCAGATCGTCTTCACCGAGATGTTCCCCCCGCTGTGTCAGAGACTGAAGATCCAGGTCTGTGAGAGGGAAAGGAAGGACATCCTGCACATGTGTCTTTTATTTACACTTACAAAGCAATAAGGAAACAAAGTCTAAATGTAACAGAGGTCTGTCTTCTGTCTCCTCATAGGTCTGGGATGAGGGGAGCATGAGCGACGTCGCAATAGGAACCCATTACTTTGACTTGAGACGCATCTCCAATGAACAGGACGGGGACAGAGGTAAAGAGAGAGTAAGGCGGGGGGGCAGAGGTTGAGTTGGGGGGGAGGGGAAGGTGGGAAAGAGAAAGAGTTTTTGGAGATGAGATATCTGAGGAAGGAATCAAAGGAAAAGTAAAGAGTGATCATTTCAGGAGTTGGTCGTCTGCTCTGAGTGACTTTCTTGTTCTCTCTTTCTCAAGGCTTTTTACCAACTTTTGGTCCCGCTTGGATCAACCTGTACGGCTCTGCTCGCAACTTTTCAATCGGCGACGACACAGTGGAGCTGAATGAGGGCATCGGAGAGGGTGTGTCCTACAGGTCAATGTTTACAAAGTTTTTTTAATCACCTTTTTTTTTCAATCAACTGTTTGAATATACCTCACCAACAACAAGCCATCCAATCCCTGCTGCTCTCAGGGGCCGTGTCTACATGGAGCTGACGGTGGAGATCCTATCAGGTGGGACAGGCTCGGAGTCCAAACTGAGCAAATTGGTCAAGTCAGTGAAGGATCCCAAAGCAGGAAAAGCAGGAGGGAAGGATGGAAAGACGGCTGCAGGAGGAGGAGCGGGAGGAGCAGCAGGAGGAGCAGCAGATGATGACAAAGGGAAGACTGTGGCAGCAGAGGTGATGCCTGTGGAAGCTCCTCCTGAGGTGAGAAACTCACTTTGTGGTTCCACAATTCACAACAGCACGAAGTTGCATGCTCCTTTTAAAGCTAACATTTGACGTTGTATCCAGATGAAGGCAGAAAACCAGGAACGATTCATTCTGTTCGGGGCGGTGTTTGAAGCCACCTTGATCGACAGGAAGATCGGAGACAGACCAATCAGCTTTGAGTTCTCCATGGGTGAGTCTGCAAATAAATGCTTTTCACTAATCATCAACATTTAAGTCCAAAAGTCACAGAACAGACTGTTGTGTTGTAAGAATCAGAATACATTTAGAAGTGTCTGTGTTACTTTATTTATCCTGAATTATTGTTTTATTTCTCTGGTCTTTTTGTCAAATTAAAATAAAGTAGTAGTAGAAGTAGTTTACAGATTCCAATCAGGACTAACTTTGATCACTTCCTTTCCCCTCTCAGGTAACTTTGGGAATATCTTGGAGCCTTCTGCTGCGCCCGCCCTGAGTCCTTCTGTCAGTCGGAGGAGAAGCCCCAGAAGTCCCAGAGCGCTGGACGTCCCAGACAGCGGTAACCTGCTCGGCACCTCTCCTCGCAGCTCCTCCCCATCCTCCCCTCTTTTACCCCGAGAAGTCAAAGAAGACCCCCCCTTGACCTCCAAGTCCACCACGCCTCCAGAGAAACCGCTAATCGTGGACGGAAACAAGTTGAGTGTGAAAGATGTCGGCTGTTTTTCTCTCTATGTTGTGTATAAATGATTGACATAATCTGAGGGACTGTGGCACGTCAGCCGATGTTTATGTTTAATGCTGGATGTCCAAACTAAAAGTGGTCTGCAGGGGGCGCTAAACGGCTTGTTCTGCAAATCACGCCATTGTTCCCCGATCTGAAACCAAGAATTTCACCAGACTGCTTCAAGCCTCCATGTAAGCCGCTGAAACCTCTTACATAGGCTCTCTTATCCCAGCACTGGAGAGCAGCCCTCCCCTGGCAGCCCTGCAGCATTTTTCTTCCAAAGAGCTGGCCAATCAGAAAAAATGGGGGCACATGGCCAATGTCAGATAAATAAAGAGGATTTTTCAAGATGCTTGAAAACATTCTCTTGCCTGCTTCCATCACTGCAACACCTGTTGTTTTGACCTGGTAGCTTCAGTGTTTCTCCAGCTCTGCATGGGTCTGTAAACCTTTCTGTGTTCTAACCTCTCTCCATTTTTCAAAAGCATCTCCAATATTGATCCTAGTTTGAGCACGTTTCTGCTCGTGGAGCTTATTAGAAACATGCAGAGGCTTTTTAGGTCGGGTACAATCACTTCTATCTGAACCACTTCTCTTGACCGCTTCCATCGCTGCAACACCTGTTGACCTGATAACTGCTCTCATATCTGGCAAACCGAGGGGTGTCCAAAACGGCCGTGTGTCTTAAAAGCGCCTACCTGTTCTGGTCCAAACAAATCCAGAGCATTCAGGAGCAGAATCTAAACTTCTCTGTGTCTAACTGTTTATATATATGTGTTTATAGGTACTACATGTATCTTCCTCTGGAGAAGCAGAAGCCTTGTATCAATGTGCTCGGTCAGTGGGATGACAGGACCTACCGACTGTACAACTCCAACATGCTGGAGAACATCGCTGTCCTGTTTGTATGTACACGCTGACACATGCACCACATGTTCTACTCATCAAACTGTTTATCTGAATGTCAGCGGCTTGATTTACGCTCTTTCCCTTTGTGTCATTTAGGAGGAGGGCGTGGCCAGTGCAGCCGAGCTACACAAGAAGTCAGATCCAGGGGCGGAGCCAATGCTCAAAATCGTCCTCAAAGAGTTTTGTATGGACGCGAGGTAATCACACAATCAAATCCCAAGCACTTATAGACCGCTACTGTCTCCCAGAAACACCTGAGGAAAAGTTTTGACAGACTTTTTTCAACTTTTAAGGAACTTTTGAGTATTTAATGACGCCCCTTTTTCTGAGGGGTTTAAAATGGCCGTGTGGGGGGGTGTCTTTAAAGCGCCTACCTTCTCTGGTCCAAACAAATCCAGAGCATTCAGGAGCAGAATCTAAAGTTAGAAGGAGGACATACTGGCTGCTGCATTGTTGTCAGAGAAGCCAGCACTTCAACATAGCATGTTTCCTTAATGATCAGATAGTAAGATACCTTTATCATCTCACTCTCTACACAGCTCACTGATTGGACCTTTAAGGTTTTGCTATAAAAAAAACAGCCACAGTGGTTTTGTTGACTTGGACTCGTTTTCTTCTGCAGGAGTTTCATCACAGCAGCCGAGGCCAAGCTGAAGGCTGAGCTGAAGTCAAGCTTCCTCACGCAGCTGGACAAGAAACGCCTCACCATGTGTAAACAGGAACTGGTGGGAAAATCTGACAAACACAGAAACACACACTGAAAACAATTCCTCATTTATAAAACGCTCAGTGTTTGTGTTGAAGTAATCTGTGACTCTGTCTCTGTTGCACATTTAGGACAAACATATTCAGAATTTTAAAATCCTAATAAACAAGAGGTTCAGGTTTAACAGTTATTTTTCCTTATATTCTCCTCTCCCGTTCCTTTTCTTTAAAGATAAAGATAAAGATAAACTTTATTGATCCCCGTGGGGGAAATTTGTGCATTACAGCAGCTCCAGAAAACAGGGGATGGGAATATACTTATTAAAAATAAAAATAGAAGTTAAAATCAAATCAAACATATTTACATCTTTACAGCAAAGATGTTTCATGTTAAAGCTTTTTGAGTGTTTTCACAACGTGTAATTGCTTCTGCTTAATAATAAATCTTAATTTGTTAACTTGCCAGTTACATAAGAGAACTCTATCAAGATTTGTCTGTTTATTTGTGGGTTAAGACGTGCAGTAGATAATTACATTTATTCGTCTTTTTGACAACAAGCGCTGCTCTTTGGTTGGCAAACGTGAGGAGTTAACACAAGTGTTCTACATGATGGACTTTGGGGTGAGCTGTTGAGATGAAGTGTGAAAATAATGTGTGTTTTATGTGTTTCAGGAGAGTATGATAGGAGATGCTCAGAGCCTGGGAGACAGGAAGAGAAAAGTGGGCGGAGTGAAAGAAACGCTGCAGAATGCAACGAAACTCACACAGAAACTACGCTTTCTTGTGGTGGAGGTACAATACTCACTCTGTTTCTGTGTGTGTTCCATTTCCATCCTGATGGTTACCTACCTGTCTTGAACACCTGTGCATGGTTTTTTTGCAGCCTCAGCACACAGTTCCAGACCTCTTTGTGTGGCTGCTGAGCAACAACAAGCGTGTTGCATACGCTCGGGTCCGAGCCAGAGACCTGCTGTTCTCCAGTGACCAGGAGGCCCGGGGAGTCCACTGTGGCAAGATCATCACACTGTTTCTGAAGGTAACCCACCCCCCCACACACACACAGATCTTAACTTAGACGTCGTTCTCTGCAGGAATGTTGGCAGAGAGAAAACTGGCCGGTGTGTTTGTGTGTTCAGCCTCCAGGGAAGCGTGTTGCAGGCTTGTCAGTCCAAGCCAAGCTGGATGTGTTTCTGTGGTTTGGAAAATATGCCGACTCAATCCACATGCTGGATGACCTACCTGCAGGGTTCCATCCTGCCACAGGGGGAGCCGACGCCAGCAACCCTCCAAAACGCCTTGTCAGCGCAGGTAAGAGAAGAAGAAGACAGTTTCTCCATTTTTTTTTTAAAGATTTTGCAACTTGTGTTACTGTTTTTGTTCTGCTCATCCCCGATTATAAACTCTCAAGATGTTCAAACTAAATGTGGGCAAAGTTTCAGATCATGAGGTAAACGTGTGTTGGAGTAATCCCAGGATGAGTCTGCAGGGGGCGCTAAACGCCTTGTTCTGTAAATCATGCCATAGCTCCCCGATATGAAACCAAGAATTTCCCCAGACGGCTTCAAGCCTCTGAAACCTCTTACAGAGACTCTCTTCTCCCAGCTCTGGAGAGAAGCCCTCCCCTGGCAGCCCTGCAGTGTTTGGCCCCTCCAGAAGGCTTCCAGAGAGCCGGCCAATCAGAAGAGAGTGGGCACGTGGGGAGGGGGGGCTTTAAAGAAACAGCAGTAGAAACGAACAGTTTGAGGCCGAGGCTGAAATGAGGGTTTTGATAAAAGAGTTTCGGTCTGCAGTTCGGCCTCTGGCTCTTAGATTTACAGAATCATTTGACTCAAACTGACCTCCATGTTTTATTTGTGTCTCCAGAGCAACATCAGTTCCAACTGAGGTGTCACATGTATCAGGCTCGTGGGCTGATTGCTGCCGACAACAGCGGCCTGTCGGACCCTTTTGCCCGAGTCACCTTTCTGTCTCAGAGCCAAACCACCAACGTAAGTGTGTTAACGCACAGCTGTGATCCCAGGATGCTTTTCTTTATGTTTCTTTATTCCCTCTACAGAGGCAACTACATGTGGCCAAAGCCAAAGTCACATCTTGAAATATCATATCCTATCATATCGTAATGTATCCTATCGTACAGTATCAGAACATGCTCTCATTGTATCTGGTCATACTGTGTCAGATCGTCTAGCTGCCTGGGTTTGATATTTGCTGTCTAAACTTGTCGATAAATTACTTAAATAATAATTGTTTAGAAATAAAATATTAAATCAAAATGTGATAACGTCTTGAACATGTAAGACATAATATTTTTGTATTATTGTATTGGGAAACAACATTTCCATTCTGCAGCTCTAGATGGTTTTGTACCTTTAAATAAATGTTGTATGTCTTTATGTGTGCTCATCGTAATCGGGCAAGTCTGTGTTACTTTAAGATCATCAGTCAGACTCTCAGTCCAACATGGAATCAGTGTTTGCCGATGAGCCGCCTGCAGCTCAGCGGAGATCTTCAGCACATCAAGGAGGAGCCGCCACGTATTCTCATCGAGGTGTATGACGACGACGCTCTGGTAATACTACGTACACGTGTAGAATGTAAAAACTTTGAATTGAACTCTTCACCTATCCTCTCCATCCTCCGGCTGTTGGCAGGGTAAAGCCGAGTATCTGGGAGCCACGGTGGCGGTGCCTGAAATCCGGCTAAACTCTGAACCCTACACGCCTCCAACCCTCCAGTACAGCCCGCTGCACTGCGGCAGCCAATCAGGAGGAGACCTGCTGGCTGCTTTTGAACTTCTGCAGGTCTGTACTGCAAACTCCGTTTAATAACCTACAAATCTACATTTCATTTATCTGACGCTTTTATCCAACGCTACGAACATCAAAGAGTAAGAACAACACGAGCAAGGAGAAAGAAAGGAGGAGACAACGACAGGAAGTTAAAACTTAGAGCTTTAAGTCCAATCAGACACACGTGCTGACAGGAAGTGACCAGAGGCAGAGCAAAGGTGCTGACAGGAAGTGACCAGAGGAGCTGACAGGAAGTGACCAGAGACAGAGCCCTTTTTGAAATAATTAAAGTTAATATATTGTCATCATCAACAACATTGAAAGCTGCTCTTGAGAGTTCTAATTAGCATCATAACCATCCTAAATAACATCATCATCATCATCATTAAGTTAGTAGGTATTCATGAAAGAGCTGGGTCTTTAGCTTTTTCTTAAAGGTGCAGAGGGACTCTGCAGATCACATGGAGTTTGGAAGTTTGTTCCACCACCGGGGGCGACAGAGGAGAAGAGTCTAGTCAGAGACTTAGGACCCTGTTGTGAAGGTTGGATCAGACGCCTTTCATTGGCAGAGCGTAGTGGGGGGGAGGGAGTGTAGACCTGGATCAGAGAGTTAAAGTAAGGAGGAGACGTTTCTGTTCTGTTTTGTAAGTGAGCAGCAGAGTTTTAAATTTGATGCGAGCAGTAACTGGGAGCCAGTGGAGGGAGATGAAAAGAGGAGTGACATGTGCTGGTTTGGGGAGGTTGAAGACGAGTCTTGCTGCTGAGCTTTGGATCATCTGCAGGAATTTGATAGTGCAGGAAGACCTGCCAGTAAGGAGTCCCACCTGATGCAGGATTTTACAAAATGATGAAGAGCTTATGATGTAGAATGTAGCTCAATATAATAAAGAAGTGTCCTCGTGATGACTGTTTAGATCCCAGAGTCTGGAGAGCAGAGTCTGCCGGCGTTGGAGGAACAAGAAGGAGGAATCTACACAGTTCCTGCAAACATCAGACCTGTTCTCAGCACCTACAGGCTCGAGGTTTGCCTCTCTGTTTCTGTGTCTTTTAGTACATGCAAACTAATTTTTTAACACAGAAACTATAAATACTTGTAAATGGGTTAGCCAACTGCTAACATTTCTGTTTCTGCACTTTGATTACTGACCTTGGGTGTGTGTTTTTCTTCCACCAGGTGTTGTTCTGGGGTCTGAGGGAGCTGAAGAAGGTTCAGCTCCTGTCTGTTGATCGCCCTCAGGTACACTCACACAAACATAACATAAAACAAGCTGTGGCTTTGAAACCACCGTCTTATTTGAAACCATTCAAAATGCTGCACGATTAGACTTTTATTTAACTCGTTAGATTATTTTCTAAACACGTCCTGAGTGAAAGAATGAGGACAGAGATACAGTCTTGAGTTGGGAACGACCCTGCGATTGTCGGTGAAGAGGAATCGGCCTGATTATCCAGCAGTCTGAGTCGGGCTTTAGAGGAGATGATCTGTTTTTAATCCCCTCCTCTGTCTGTGTCCAGGTGTTTATAGAGTGTGCAGGTAAAACTCTACGTTCGTCAGTCATTCAGAAGTATAAGTCCAACCCAAACTTCCCCATGCTGGTGGACGCCATAGAGCTGGTAAGAAACAATGATCCATGTAGACTCACTGCTCCTCATTTGAAGACATGCATGTGTTTTGTGCCGACAGTTTGGGGTCTAGAATCTGCACCTTTATTTAAAGATCCAGGAAACAGCTTCTCCTCTTTCCTTCCGTCTTTCAGGAATTACCAGATAACGAGCTCCTCCATCCTCCTCTCAGTATCACTGCTGTGGACTGGAGGGCGTTCGGGCGCAGCACGTTGGTTGGAAACCACATCATCAACAACCTTAAGGCCTTCAAATACGTCCCGCCCCCGGCCCTGCCTGGTCCGGTGCAGGTACCCAAACAACGCACGATCTCGTACACACCGGAACTCCATCTGGCGCCCGAGCCACAGCAAACAGAGGGTAATATCTCAACATGTCTGAACTAACTCTACGCTCAGTTTGTGATGAGATTGATTAATCCTCCAGTTTAGAAGCCTCTGCTGTCTCTCATCCAATAGGACCTTCCCAGCTCTCTGTAGAGCCTGGTTCCACTGTGCAGGATATCCTGATCACTGTGGAGGATGAAGCTCCGCCTCCAGCCCCGCGCACCCTGAAGAAAGAAGTAAAGAAAAAGGTGCTGAACCATTTAGGAGAAAAACAACTCTAGTCTTTTCTGTTCTCTGAACCACTCTCTGAATTGTTTTTTACACGTTTTACTTTCTCAATCCAGGATGGAAAGACAAAAAGCAGTCGACGCTCCACCAAGCGCAGGAAGCGGACAGTTGCAGACGAATCAGCGGAAAGTGTCATCGACTGGTGGTCCAAGTACTACGCGTCCGTGGAGAAAGAGGTAGCACTGATCGTTGAGCTTTACTGCGATTCAAATCGACATGAAAAGTTTTAAAAATATGGAAAAGAGAACGTGTGTTTGTGTTTCAGTCCAAACAGAAGGATGGATCTCTATTCCCCCAGGTGTTTGAAAAAGGTAAGAAAACCTCTAAGGGGGGCGTTTCACCTCCCTCAGGCAAGAGGAACGAGCCCTGTGATTGGCTGTGTGTTTCGTTGAATTCAGTGGTTAAAGTGTCTCCTTGTTGAACTGGCCAGGAGTTTTGTCAGCAGCAGACACAAACATTTGTGGACTTGATGGTAAACATAACGGAGCATTTAGGGGATAAAGATCCAACGTTTTCACAAAGAATTTTGATGAGACCAAACTAAGAGCAATAATATTAGAAACATGTCTTTTCTAGGTCGATTCCTCTGACCTGCAGGATGTGTAACTGTTTCCTTGTAATCTCCTATATTTTAACCTTTGTGGTGATATATTAATTTGGGTTCATGGCTTTATGTTGCTGCCCCCAAGTGGCCAAAAAAAGCAAGTGCAACCAAAACAATGTGCTCCCCCCTCAATCTTTAAGATGCATGCTTCTATCACCACTGATTCTGTTGATTTAGATCTGCTATAAATGTTGATGGAAGCATTATTCCATAACTCCTCCCCTGACACACACACACTCCTTGTTGTTCGTTGCAGCTTCAGTGTTCGGCGGCTTGCTCAGCGATGGAGTAGACTCTCTGGGTAAGGACACAGACCTGGGGCTAAGAGTGGTGTTATTAAGACCAGAGAAGTGGTTACAGGCTTTTTAAAATTTCTTCAAATGACCTTCTGCTTTGTAACTCCTTTCCTGACCGCTCGAGGCTCTGGGAACTGACTATCTTTATTTATTTATTTTAGATGCATGCAAACAGTTCAGTTGTTGGCTTATTAATGTGTTGCAGGTTTGATGTACTGGACGTTTGTTTCTGTTGCTGCATGATCTGCATCGCAGCTTCCACTGTGACCCTCCAGTTTCTGCTTTTATTTACAAGTTTAGCAGCGCGACTAAAAATGTGGATCTGTGTGTTGCTTCCTGGTGAGATGTAGGGGCATGGCTTAAAGGAGATCTATTCTGTGGATCCATCTTTAAATACATTGATATAATGTCACAAACTAAACCTTGGCTCAGTTATTGGTGTAATCCCCGGACTTGGTTTCCTGCTGCTCTGGAGGAGAACTTGGCAAGACTTGGCCAGAACCAGACGTTCAGCCGACGTATCACAAAAAACTTCTACCAGATACGATGTGGTATAAAACTACGCATCTGGTGGAATATGGTCAGAGCAGCACATGGAGCAGAGTAGTAGGACAAGCCCACACTGACAGCTCTTTCAAGGACACAGCCACCTGAAAGCGCACTAAAACTTTCCCTTCGATTGCAAACCGAGCTGGCCAATCAGAGGAGAATGGGCACACAGGGAGGGGGGGCTCTTAAAGAGACAGTAGCTGAAATGAAGCGTTTCAGGCATTTTACTCAGGGATTTTACTGACACCAGTATCAGATAAATGAGGAGGTTTTTGATTTATAAATCTCACAACGCTGCTCAACAGGAGTCCCAGACTGACATCACTAGTGAGGATGAAAACGACTTTAAGGGACTAAAGAAAAAACCAGCTGACTGAATCTAGTTTGCTGCTGTTTGGCTGTACCGTCTGTAAATCAACATCAATATTTTAACTTTCTTTTAGAGTTCCAGCTCTGTGTCACTGAAACATGTCTCGTTTGTTTGTTTCCCTCAGTCAGCCAATCAGATGCAGACAAGAAGAAGAAGCAGCAGAAAGGAAAAACAACGTTGGATCCCAAACTTGGCGTTCCAGCTAAATTAGCCACGCTAAAGGTGCTCCGTTCTCAAACAGTGGATACTTAGCATACATACTCAGCACACACATACCGACTCTCATGAAGCTGTGTTTCAGAATTTATTCTCATAGCGTCTCATCTGAACACATTTCTGTCGTTCAAACATATTAGCCGTTTCATGCATGAATTATAAAACCAGACGTTACTCCACATCAGTTATTTTCTGCAAAGTCTCAGTGGTGATATAAACTGTCGATGAAGTATAGCAAGCAATGCATGATGTGAAACTTAGTGGACAGGAGATCAATCATGATTTTCTCCAGAAAAAAAGTTTGTTAGTTGATGTTTAGAAACATTATCACCTGCAAAGCTCTTCTAGAAAAACAGGATTTGGAGCCAACGTGCCATCGGGTACAGGTCAGGACCGGCCGGCTTTTTCTGGGCCTGATCTAAGCTCTAACAGCTGGTCACTGCACTACTTTTCTAGTATTTGTTTACAGTGCAACATCTCATCTGCAGATTTGCACCTTCATCTTACTACAGTTGTCCTTAAAGGTGAAAACTCCACTAGCTCCAGAAGTTTAGCTTCTGTAAGTTCTCAAACAGAGCTGGATGAGATGGTGAGATGATATTAACGTGTTGTTTACAGTTTGCACTAGATGATAGAAAACACAACACACTGCTCCTTTAATGCTCCAGAAAGCTTTGCAGGAAACATTTGATCCTGCCACTGATATGTCAGAGGATTTTTGTCTGATGGATAAATCTCTGATGATCTCTCTGCAGCTGTTCAACAAAGAGCTGGAAGCCGAGTTTGGAGGTTTTGATGATTGGGTGAAAACGTACGACCTCTTCAGAGGGAAAGCCAATGAGGAGGAGGGATCGACTGATGAGAGATTCGTCGGCAAATTTAAGGTTGTGGCGCTTTGCTGAAATGTCTTCTGTGTTAAACAATAAAATGATTCATTGTTTTAAAGATGAATTGAATCTGCTGTGTTGTTCTCTGCAGGGGAAATTCTGCCTCTACAAACTGACTGAGAGTGACGATGAGGACTGGGAGGACGCCGCGGACTCTGGGCACTTAAGAGTCAACACCGGGATCCCTCTAAACGGCCCGGTCCAAGTCCTGATACGGGTTTACATCGTCTCAGTGAGTCTGTTTTAAAGATTTAATGTGATCTTCTTCAGATCAGGAAAGTCAAAAAGCAGCAACTTAGAGCAACTTTTATTTGATGACAAATCCTGACAAAGTATGATTAAAACTCTTAGCATCAAAACTTACTTTGATTCCTCGATTTTAGCAGAATGTCCATATTTCTATAATGTTGCAAGTGAAGAGGCAAAACAACAACACACAAAGTGATGAAGTAAACATCCAGAAACAAAAAAGGAGAATCTGAAATAGTCCTGATTTAGTTTAGTTTAGTTTAATCGTTTATTTGAATCAGGGACAGTGTACAAAAAAAACATTATTCTCAGAAGAGAAGAGATGCTTTGTACCAGATTTAGCTAGCTTGCTAATTTCCATCTGTTGTCCCTGGGCAGATGAAGGCAAGAGTAAAATGATGAACCTGGAGATGGTTATAGTTGCTCCTGTTGTGGATAAGGATAGAAAATAAGGGAATTAAACGTGCAATATACACAACTGAGTTTGATATCATCTGTCCTTCCCTCTCTGCAGGCGTCCAACCTGCACCCGGCTGACCCCGACGGGAAGGCTGACCCTTACATCGTCCTTCGCCTCGGCAAGAACGAAATCAAAGACCGAGACAACTACATCCCAAAGCAGCTCAATCCCGTGTTTGGAAGGTACGCAGCTAGCTCACTGCAGCTTCAAAGCTGACACAGAAAATGTCTAAAGATGTTTTTAATGTTTAATCTACTTCTTCCAGATCATTTGAGTTTCACGCCACCTTTCCGAAGGAGTCTCTGTTGTCGGTGGTGATCTACGACTATGACTTGGTGGGAGGGGACGACCTGATCGGAGAGACTCGCATCGACTTGGAGAACCGCTTCTACAGCCGCCACAGAGCGACCTGCGGACTCCCCATGGAGTACAGCCTGTAAGCCATGTGACCAGCGTTCAGGTGGTCGTGATGCAGACGTCTTTTTATGAGCTACAAAAACAAACAACAACAACTGATTATTGTTCTGTCGAGTTATTTTAAACACCTGAAGCTGTCGCGCGGTAGGTGAGTGTAGCGAGGAGGTTAACGAGTATTTCACAGCAAGATTCTTAAAGATTGAAGCATTCAACTAATAAAAGAAAACAGGGTGAGATCAACACTTCTGAGGGCTCGATCACACCGAGAAACACGACTAGGCACCGCCTGAGTGCATCATGGGAAAGAACAGCTGGGAGCGCCTAAAAGACCGGGGAAAAATGTATTCCAGCAAACGTAGAGCTCTCACTTTGCATCTAGACGAGTCCAGGAGATACAGCCTCCTACTTGATTTGATTGGCTGCTTCGGCCAAAAGTGACATCACTGAACGCTGCGGCTATTAACCTGAAAAAACGTTATAACTTTTATGCACGCCTAAAAACCGCTCGAAAAACATGAGACGAGCACCTGGCGAGCTCGCTGCACCAGAGGAAAACAATGAATGTTCTGGCGGCGCTGCGTTAGCGAGGTGTCTCTGTGTGATCGGGCCCCTTACACGTGTACTGGACAAAATCAGCTAAGAGAGAAGATCTACTTTGGCCACAGGGGGAGCCAAAGTCAACAGAAACTGAATGTTCTTATCAGGAGCTTTAAGGGTGAAAGTTTATTTTCAGATGCTAAAATAACTCTAAAAAAAAGGAGGGAAGGCTGCATTTAAACTGTGTTTATCATCTACTCACAGAAGTCTCTCCTTCTCTTCACTGTTACGTCTGTGTGTGTGTTAGCGATGGTTACAACGCCTGGAGAGACTGTCTGAAGCCCTCAGAGCTGCTGTCAAAGCTGTGCATAGAGAACGGCGTGGACGGTCCTCATTTCAGACCCGGACGCATCACTCTGGCCGACAAAGTGTTTGCAGGGAAGACGCTCTTCATGAATGAAGGTGAAACATTTAATGTGCTCTATTTCTCTACATCAGGTGAATGTTTAGAGTCCGATATGTGCCTTATTGTGATCCTGAACCTAAACGGTGCACATGGCAGTCCTGTGACGTGTGTGATGTCATAATAACTGTGAGGTGTGCTCGTGTCTCAGACCAGCCGGTGGAGTCCTACGAACACTTGTCCCTGAAGATCCTTCACCGCTGGTCAGAGATTCCAGCTGTGGGGTGTAAACTGGTTCCTGAACACATCGAGACCAGGACTCTTTTCAACAAGGCCCGGCCCGGCATGGACCAGGTACTTCATACAAAGTGCAACGTTCTCGACTGTTTCCTCGAAGAACAAACAGGAGCATGCATTCATGCTTTTAATTTTTTCTTTTAAAACGCCCAAAATTAAATCTTTAAAGGTCCCATATTCTGTAAAATCCTCTTCCCCATGTTCCTCTAGTCTGTCTGCAAACCCCCCAGTGATGAGAAAAGTCCATCCTCTCCGTCTTTTGCCTGCTCCACTTTTCAGAAAATGTGTGCGCAAACAGGCCGTTTGGAGATTTTCCCTTCATGACATCACAAAGGGCAGTAACACTCCCACAGCTAGGTGTTTGTTCTGCCCTCTGAGTCTGCCTTCTCACCGTAAACAATAGGACATGGAGCGAGAAAGACCGAGTACACCCGAGCCCTTCCAGAGAGGGGGCGTGGTCAGACACAGCTCATTTACATATTTAAAGGTACAGACACAGAAACAGCCTGTTCTGAGCAGGGCTGAAATAGAGGGGTTTATAGACATGATCAAATACAGGATCAGAGTGGATTTAGAACAAGAAACTTCACACACATGTTAAAGAGGAGCTCTGAGACTTATTCACACTGAAGAAGAAGAGGAGGAATGTCACCTTTAAATAAACTCATTTTGACCTGGACTGTGAACGCTCTTTCTCTTGTGTGTGTGCAGGGTCAGGTCCAGATGTGGGTGGACATGTTTCCCATGGACTTACCTCATCCGGGACCTTCTGTGGATATTTCACCCCGAAAACCAAAAGGGTGAGAGCTGTCTTCTATCTTTACACGAACACTGTGTAAGACATTAAAAACCATAAATCCAAAGTGAAATGCAGGGACAGCCTGTTGAACAAGTTCAGTGTTACGAGTACTGGGGTAATGTCATGTATGTCCCTGTGTTTTCTATATGGGGGGGGGGGGGGGGGGGTTAAAGGTCAGACTAAACCTGTGGGACTTGATGCATCTGTCAGTTACTGGAGGGAGTTCAGGAACCATGAACTGGTCGACTAAGGGCCTGAATGTGTGTCTTCAGGTACGAGCTGCGAATCATCATCTGGAACACAGAAGATGTGATTCTGGAGGACAGCAACTTCCTGACCGGTCAACAGTCCAGCGACATCTACATCAAGGGGTGAATATATAAACCGCCTCCGTCTGATACGAGAGCAGATATTAGTCACTTCTTCATGTTTTTCGTCTTCCTCTGCAGCTGGTTGAAAGGTTTGGAGGACGACCGACAGGAGACCGACGTCCACTACAACTCTCTGACGGGAGAAGGAAACTTCAACTGGCGCTTTGTGTTCCCTTTCTTTTACATGCCGGCTGAGAAGGTACCGACCAGCTGACAGACGCACACACCAGGTGTACTTGGTTTCTTTTGAAAACATGACTATTGTTAAATCTCTCTGACAGGTCGTGGTGGTGAGGAAGAGAGAGCATATTTTCTCTCTGGATAAAACCGAGGAGAAGCTTCCTGCCATCCTCAATCTGCAGGTCTGGGACTTCGAGACGCTCTCCTCTGACGACTTCCTTGGTGTGACTTTATTTTTTACAGCTCTCCACACGATCTGTAAATATCTGTTCTCCACTGATTTTTAAGCGTTTGTGTATTCAGGCACGGTGGAGTTAGACCTGCACGGTTTCCCTCGTGGGGCAAAGACGGCCAAGGTGTGTAAGGTAGACATGTTGACGGACGGGACGGAGAAAATCTCCATCTTCCAGCAGAAGAGAGCGAGAGGCTGGTGGCCCGTCAGCAAGTCTGGAGAGCTGACGGTGAGTACAGCAGACACACCAACAACTTCATTCAGAGCGGAGAACATTTGGTGACACTTCATGACGGTCATGACTCTGTCTCCTTCAGGGGAAAGTGGAGGCGGAGTTTCATCTTGTGACGGCTGAGGAGGCAGAAAAGAATCCAGTTGGACGAGCGAGAAAGGAGCCGGAGCCGCTGCCGAAACCAAAGTAAGAGCCTGAAGGAGATCGTTCATCCAGTCCACCGTTTGATCCTTTTATTGTGTTTCTTTGCATCAAACAACGACTTCAACAGTTTCCTTTGTCACATCACAGCAGCCCTTCACAATGTGCAACAGCGTTTTAGATAAGCTCCGCCTTCATTGTGCTTTAGGACAGTTTTATTGATTCTGCAATCGGTGTCCCAGTCTGTGAGTTCTCGCTGCCTTACAGGGTTGTAGAAGCGCGAGAGAGAGAGCACGGCGTAGTGGGCGCTCCACATACACACACAGCGCTGTGCTCCCCCGCTGACTCAGCTGATCCCGTCTCTCCTCTGTAACGCCTCTGAAGACACTACAGAGGGGGGGGTCACTTCGTCCCCCCATTGCGCCTTTAAGACATTCAGGTTGAAGGCGAAATGTCACAGGGGTGTAAATATCACGGCTTGAAACGGCGCTCTGAATTGGGTTTATGAAGATCTACCTCAAAGGTCCCAACAAAACAACCTGCTTACTTTTTTGTGCAGATTCAACAAATGTCATGCTTTTATTTTAGCTTAGAGGCACTGGAACAGAAAGGTTCCTCTTTGTACAAAGCAAAACTTGTCCTGGATTTCAGTCTGCTAAGCTAAGCAGAAATGACCTTCGAGAGGAGGCTCCGACTCAATGGGTAGCAGTAAAATAACGGCCCCTCGATTGTTGAAGTGGGCTAACTGACTTCAAATCTGTCCAGTGTGTACCCCGATTAAAAAGTTATCAAAAACAAAACTGAACGATCTTTTCTCCCCTCTTCATCCCGCAGTCGCCCAGACACGTCCTTCTCGTGGTTCGTCAATCCATTCAAGTGTTTCTTCCACCTCATCTGGAAAAACTACAAGAAGTACATCATCATCGGCCTGGTGCTGCTCATCACAGCGCTGTTCCTCGCCCTGCTGTTCTACACACTGCCCGGCGCCATTTCTCAGAAGATAGTCAGCGGATAACACACACACACAGACACACACACACACACACACAGACACACAGACACACACACACACACACACACACACACACACACACACACACACACACACACACACACACACACACACACACACACACACACACACACACACACACACACACACACACACACACACACACACACACACACACACACACACACACACACACACACACACACACACACACACACACACACACACACACACACACACACAGTAGTTTTAAACATTTTAAACTTTGTGCCTGTAAATAAGAAAGTTCCTGTTTCTACAGATCTTTAGATGTTTATTTACACCGAACAGGTCATCAGGTGATTCAAATCATTGGTTTGTTCTGAGTTAAACTTCAAAACAAAAGCATTTTTCCAGGGAACACCTGCAGGTGAGAGGTCACAGAGGTTACATGGTAACATCTCCACCTTTATCCCACATCGTTCTTTAAGCTGTTTACATCAGGAGTGTTTAGCTTCGATCCCAGTTTCCAGTCATGCTAACTCTCGTGACCTTCATCCTCTCGGTGTGTTTGACTTGTTTACAGATCGCAGAATGTCCACAAACATATAAGAGGCTGTGTGTTGTTGTTTACACACAAAGAACTCAGAATAATATATCAGCTTATTCCACATGTTTTCATTAGAAACGCTACATTCTGAATATCCTCATGACCTGTTTTAAATCATCTCATTCTTAGTGTGCATGTTCTCTTAGTGTCTTTTTATTCCACGCTAACGGGAATACTTCTCAGGTTATTTCCTCGTGTACTCATTAGACCAGGTTCAGGCGTTCATATGATTTACATTAAAACAAAAGAGAGTCCACTTGACAGTCCCTCCAGGATTCGCTGTGTTTTTATTGCTGCAGCGTAAAATTATAAATTATGACTGAGCGCCCGACGGCTCAGCTTGGATAAAAATAAAAAGGCATTTACAAATTCAAAATGTGCACACAGATTTGTAATCTGTAGGAATGAAATAGGCTGGTTGAAGAAAAGTGCATGCTCACATAAAGGCTGGGGATTGGTTGAATTTGCTGCATGGTAACGTTGCAACTTCCTGGACGGACTGACTCACAGAAATCCACCACGCAGTGAAACTCTCGGTCCGACATTTAAAAGACATTCACCTGCCGACTAAAAACTACGACGACGGTTCGTCTGCATGGCGCCGTGTTTCATTACCATCACATAAAATCCACTTTGAAATACATGAACAGTAACCATGTGCAGACAGATACAGAGGCTCTTATTTTGAAGGAGTCCACATTTATATATCAGTAAAAGCTTTAAAATGCAAAGCGATAACGCTCAGGTCGGTCGATGTGATTCTGAATGTTTTGAAGTGTTTTCAGTATCTGAATTCATCACACTTGATGTAGTTTGATCAACAATAAATGTTTTGTGTAACTGAGTCTTTTAATGTTGAGTTCTGTACAGACTGTTGAAGATTCAGGGACTTTTAGTTTTAACATCGTGGAGTGAAACTTTGTGATCTGGGCTCAGTAAAGAATATGAAGCATGCAGCCTCTCAGACTCTTATTGTGTTGAGACACCACACCAAATACTTCAAGCACAAACTGTTTACTACTGAGTCTACTTACTGCAAACACAAACAAAGATGTCTGCTCGTTATATCCTGCAGGAGAGTCCGACACCTCCTGAACACGTCTCTCATTTTAAACACGGCACTGGATGATATCTGAGTCTATCAGAGAGATGTCGTGCTGTGATAGGCCGATCTGCTGCGGTATGACGATGATGATGTGACAGTGTGCTGATGAAGAGCCATGCTGGAGCCGCTCAGGTGGAGAGCAGAAGACGAGGAGGAGGAGGAGGAGGAGGAGGAGGGTATGAAGGGTAGACTGTTGTTGAGGAAGCTGCTGGACGGAGGCAGCAGGGAGCTCTGTCTCTGCTGAGCGCTGGAGGACGCAGCTGAAACAAGACACAATTATCGGTTAAAAAAAAGTGAAGCAATGAACGTCACCTGGATGGAAAAATATCAACTCAACGTAAACGCTTAATTACAGCCAATCTCTGGTTCTTTATCTGAACAGATCCAGCTTTACTGTAATGTTTGAAATAGTCTGAAAATGTAATATATCCACGACACAGTTTCCTTTATTTTCATGTTAAGCTCTTTGCACACTGAGTCTGTTTTTTTCAGCTCACCCCAAAAACAGTTCAGGAAGATTTCAGGACTTTAAATGCATGCCTGAAAAATACATGTGAAGCATTTTATTTACTGCTGGCTAAGAGTTCATGGCCCTCCACGGTGATTTCCAGCATGCAATCCCTCGCATTCGCTTCCCTTTCGACCTCATTTTTCCACCTTTTGTCTGACTTCTTCTCGTCTACCGGCCATCACCAGTATCGGACACAGCACTTCTAACATTAAGTCCAGACTGAGTCTCCTCTTACCACAAGGCTCTCTGAGCTGCTGCTGCTGGCTGCTGATGGGGAAGCCATTCGGAGAAAGACCTACAGCGCCACCTTCAGCCTGAAGAGAGAGAGAGACACAAAATAAGAACTTAGTCTGTCAGGAGGGAAGTCGCTGATACCTGAGAACTCCTGAGAGAGGAGCACTGAGGTCTGTAAGAAGAACCATTGATTCAAAAACTAAAACCATGTAGTGGAAACGGTCCAATCAGGTCATGAACTGATCAGGAAATCTTAAAAAAGGATCTAGTGAAGGTATCGAACCATAAAACACCTCGCACAGCAGGTTAATTAACAGACAGCTCGGATCTAAATCTTTGAAATGTTGTATGCACATCACTTTCTACCCGAAAATACATTAAGAGACAACCGACCAGTGTACCACTGAGCCACAGCCGCCTGGGTTAGAACCTTGCTTGTGTCAGGTGACGGTTTTTATTCACCTGAATCTGGTTCAGACCCGCCTGGAGTTTCCTCTTCGCCCTCCATCTGGCGACCCTCAACCTGGTCTTCTCTCGACGCTCTCGCACCTTCAACATGACAAAATCGTAAAACACAATAAAACACAACAACAATAAGACACTTTGTTAAACTCTGAGACTTTAAATGTGAGACTTCGACCACGAGACGCTGATCAGTAACTCACCAGGTCGGCCAGCAGAGGCTGAGGCAGCATCTTCTCGAGCTCCCGTCGTCTGTTCAGGTTCATTCGACGGAGTTCGTTCCTGCGCATCTTGTACTCTTCATAAAGGCTGAGGTCGTTGGTCCAGGGATGTTGATCTGACTGGCGAGGGGGGATGATGGGCTGAAGGGAGGACGCCGGCGTGGGCATCAGATCTGAGAACGAAGGCACAGAAAGGTTTGAAGTTGTAAGGTTTTTCAAAGAAATTAATGATTCTGAAATCTTTCCACACAGATCTACTCACATGAGTTTGTGCTGAAGGCTGAAATTTGACTCCTTTGGTTTTCTTGATGTTCTGACCAATCAGAGCTTTTGATCTGAAGGAAAGACAAAGAAGGAGTCATTCTTCTGAAGAGATTGTTTCTGGATTTAAATGCCTGACACAAATACCTGAGTGCACTCAAAGCAGCAGTATGTAACTCTGACCCCTAGTGTTTAAAATGGGTACTGCAGTCTAAATTCTAAACATCATAGAGAGCTGTCTCCCCCCCCTCCTCCTCCTCTCTAGAGTGGATGTTCACTCAGGTCACCATGTGGTGGACTCTGAAGCTTCAGTGTTTATCCAGCTCTGCATGGGTCTGTAAACCTTTCTGTGTTCTAACCTCTCTCCATTTTTCAAAAGCATCTCCAATATTGATCCTAGTTTGAGCACGTTTCTGCTTGTGGAGCTTATTAGAAACATGCAGAGGCTTTTTAGGTCGGGTACAATCACTTCTATCTGAACCACTTCTCTTGACCGCTTCCATCTCTGCAACACCTGTTGACCTGATAACTGCTCTCATATCTGACAAACCGAGGGGCGTCCAAAACGGCCGTGTGGGGGGGATCTTAAAAGCGCCTACCTTCTCTGGTCCAAACAAATCCAGAGCATTCAGGAGCAGAATCTAAAGTTAGAAGGAGGACATACTGGCTGCTGCATGTTTCCTTAATGATCAGATAGTAAGATACCTTTATCATCTCACTCTCTACACATCTCACTGGTTGGGGGTTTAAATTATAATATTCTACAAGTGGTTGGGGTGAATAGGCAAAGCAGGACTAACAAAGACTTTCTGACACTGTGCAGAAACATTCCTTTAACAAGTCAGTGAAACTTATTTGTTTTGTAACACGACACAAACGCTTCATTCAAGCTTTACCTCGGACTCTGGAGGATGACTCTGCTGCTCCTGGCTGTCCAGCAGCAGGGCAGCTGTCACTTCCTGTTCCTCCTCTGGCTCCTCTTTAATGCAGATCACCTCCTGCTGCTGCTGCTGCTGCTGCTGCTGCTGCTGCTGGGGCTCCTGCTTCACCTGCAATAAAAAACAATGAGAACAAGAATGACTTTCTGAAATGGATGATTTCTCTCTGATCTTCAGCATTTCTTTCTCCCTCTGCGTCCTCATGCGGTCCTTCCAAACTCATTCAGAGAGGTAGCTTTTGATTAATTCACCTGTGGGGCAGCAGAGGGCAGAGTGGAGCTATCGGCGTGGGTGGATCCATCCGGGGGACAGAGAGCCAGCTCCTCCTGACTGCTGCTGCTCAGAGTCCAGATTTAGAGTCTGGACATGAGGAGGGTCCACGACATCGTCCGCAGCTTCTGTGAACGGCTCCACGGTGATGCTCCACTCACAATCCTCCTGATCGTCATCCTGGCTCCGAGGCGTGTCTTGCTCGGTGGGAGAGAACAAAACTGCACAAAGATAACACATGAATTCAGTCTCGTTTTTTTAACCTCCTAAATTTAACTGAAGCATTTCTCTTTCACCTCCTTACTTTGTTTATTTATTGAAAATGTTGTTTTAGATGTTTATCCTTAGATTTGATGGCGTTTAAAGTAGAAGTCACAGTTTTGTACAAAGCATGCAGAATGTGAAGATACACAAACACTTCAGCCCGTTACCTGTGCTGCTGTCCACAGACTCTGCAGGTGTGTTCATGGGGAGCAAGGC